CTGAGGATCCCCACTCGTCCATCCGCGGACAGTGCAACGGTCATGCTCCAGCCGCAGGCCACCTGCAGCAGGTCAATCCATCAGCCGCGCCGCCGCGACCAGCGAGTTCAGGCACAACAAAGCAGTCAAATGCTCAAGCACCAGCACTATCAGAGCAACACAGCAAGTAAGAAGAAGCATCATCGATGAAAGTAAAGCAGTAGGCCCACACTACCGAACAGTATGGCGCCGAGGAGAGAGGTGTTGAGAGCAAGTAGGAAACCGCGCAGCACGGCTAGACAGCAAGCTGCGGCAGAGGAGATAAAGGAGCCCTCAGGACATTAGACGGTAGTTCTTTCTCTGGCCAATAGTCCGTAGATCCTCGCTAACCCACATACCTGTAAGACGCCGTGCTTGTCCATGTCGCCTTGCACGCGTGTGGGCACCAGCCGGCCTTCCGTGTCATCACCCAAACCCAGACAGCCGTAGTGCTTGTCACGCTTGCCACCCTCCATCCATGAAAACTCGCAGCCCCACGTGTACAGCATCCCGGCTGGACATGCAAGGCGCCAGACCGCAGAGGAAGGAAAACCATCAGTGCCATCAGTGCCGTGTCGAACACTCAACATCAAGCCCGTACCCGTACCGTTATTGTCGACCACTGGCTTTGCTTGGTTCCACGGCCGTACAATCATAACGTTTCCGGTTAACCCCCCCCCGGGAATGGCACTGTCGAAGGTGCCAGAAGCGGTAACAGCCCTGGAGTCCACCGGCATAGCATGGCGCACGGCGCGTGGCAGTATTCCTAAATCCCATTTGCGAACGCCTTTACATTTGATGTAGATCAAAGCCAAGGAGGCCCCCCTTTCCTGGCCCTTTCCTTATCACCTATACCATTACGGGCAGCGTAGCGCAAGAACATTCCGCTTGCGCTGATCCAGCAGTGTCGTACGGTCTAGCAGGTGCCCAAAACCCAGGTGCCCGCTAGCTGAGGTCTTGGACAGGCTCAGGAGGCGGAGTGATGCGAGCAACCTTGCAGAGGGGCCCTTCGAGGCATGCCTAAAGGACAGAGGAGTGCAGCTTCAGATATCTTTTATGCGACAAATTGTAGGAGCTGCCAGACCAACACACCGCCTCCTGCTTGCACAGCTGTCGCAGCTACCCCTCCAATACCACGTTTTCAAGCAGGTTGTGAGGTTTTGGAACAGTGTCCGTTTACAGCGTGGGTCTGTGGCACACCAAGTTTTGCGACAGGAGGTCACAGAGTCCCTCTCCAACCCCGAAGGGGCCGGATGGGGGACACTACTACTCCGTTTTCTATGTTTTCTGGGGCACGACGTATGGAAAGAGACTCCGCAAGGGCTACACGAGGTAGACGAACGAGTGGAGTGGCTGATGAACAGGCCAATGCCAGAAGGTGTGGTTTTGGAGTTCAAGGACCGATTAGTGAGTGATTGGAAGCATACGCGTTTAGATGTCCAGCCTGACGTGTACCCGTCGGACGGCAAGCAACCAGGAATTCACATGGCGAAGTATAAGCATTGGGTGGGTCTGGCGGCCGGACAAGCGGGCAGGAAGGAGGTGCTCCCGCATATCACAATGTTTATCCCGCGCTCAGCGAATCGCAAGCTTATGCAGTTTAGGCTTTCCTGTTGGGCATTGGCGGCTAACAGAGCGTGTAAGGGACAGCGTTATATACCTAGGGAGGAGCGAGTATGCCCTTGCTGCGGCACTGATAGCCATATCAAGGATGAGAAGCACATTTTGCTGGACTGTCCGGTGTACAACAAAATCAAATCTGATATGGGTTTCCCACGCTTCGAGCATATGAAGGACGCTATGAAGTGGGAACCTGAACACCTGGCAAGGATGCTGGAACACATATGGTCCCACCGCAACTCTATCGTTCCCTTTGGTCGGTAGTATCCTTCATCACTTGCTTCGTTGGAAGTGCGAGGTAGGATGATGCTTATAGGCGATCTGGCAGCCCTTGAGCCCTCGGCTCGTATTAGGGTGGTTTGCAGGTACGGGGAACACACCCACGACCATGTAACAACAACATGGCTGGGCTTACAGGAGCGTATGGCTACCATGATGTACAGATGTACACCTCCTGGTGAAACCACATGCTGCCATCGGGCCCAACTAGGATGTAGGCTCGAATGTCAAATTTGCGGCCCCCTAACCGCATGGGGCTGTGTGAGGTGTATGGAGGGGGCCATCCGCGTGTGTGTGGTGGTGGGGGGAGGGGATGGGGAGGGAAGAAGGGAGCAGGCACGCGCCGTGTGTATGGTATGGCCGTGAGGTTTGAATATGTTCGGCTTGGTTGTGGGTGTGGGAGTTCCCCCGGTGTCAATTTGTGAATGCGTACCCTGCGGGTGGGCGGGTGGGTTGTCCCGCGGCGGAGTACAAGGTGGCCTTGCTTCACACAAGCACAGAGGCCGAGAGCCGCAGCGGGCGGCGGCGGAGCACCAACACAACCCAGCCAAGGAAGAACCAAATGGAAGAGCCAAAGGCCCCCCAGTCCCTGTGCGACACATCTCAACAAGCTGGAAACAGGCTGGAAAAGCAACACAGCCGTAGTGCCATACGTACCGTTCGATGTACTTCTGCAGAATGAGGCTGCTGCCTGCATGGGGAGAAAAAGTGAAGGAAGCGCAGATATGGAGGAAGGAAGCGGACATGGCGCGGACGGGAACAGGAAATTGGGTCACAGATGGAAAAAGCGGCAGGGTGCGTGGTGTGGTGTGTGTGTGTGTGTGTGTGTGTGTGTGTGTGTGTGTGTGTAGAGAGAGAGAGAGAGAGAGAGAGAGAGAGGTGTTTGACTGCTTGCGTGGTTCCGGATCCCGGCGGGTGGCAGGTGGGTAGGTGCGGGTTGGAAAGGAGTGGCGGTGCGAGCTACTGTGGATGAAATAACCCAGCGGAAGCACCGACCCTTCCCCCCAGGGAGAGGGGCGCACACGTCGTGTTTTCCTTCCTGCTTATTCCGAGCAGCAGCAGTACAGGAAAGAGTTAGTCCTGACGGGCGGGAGAGGGTTCCAGAGCGGGCCACGTCATACTAGCCCGCCTGGCCCTCCCGGAACCGCCCCTCGCCCAATAAGGCCATTGCCAAATAAGCAGTGGAGCTCCCGCAAACCCTAAAACCGCAACCCAAGTATCTAAAACCCTAAAACCGCAAGCCCATGGACCACTGACCCGCGGGTCGGCCCTTGATGTGCTCCAGGACACGGTCCAGGGAGTCGAATACCTCGATGCCGTTCCCGCGGTTCAAGCATGTGGGCTTGGCAATCCACACGCGCCGACCAGCAGATGCATGGCGAGAGTGAGTCAGTCTGGGTCGTGCCGCATGATTGCATCTAAAAGCCAATACTACAATGCTCCACCGATCACCGAAGAATTAATCCACATACATCTCTGTGGAAAAACAGCTTCCCGCTGCCCACGGCTTTGGCTTTCTCCAAACCGCAACTCGCCATCGATAACCCACCTCTCCTGAAGTAATCCCAGCCCCGACTGCGCATTGTCCCTGTGTGAGTACCAAACCGCACAAAGTCCCAGAGTAACCCGCCCAACACATGAAAACCCGACACGCAAAAGTCATCCTTCCCACCCCTCCTCCCGCCCCGTTCCCTCCCTGCTCCCCTCCTCCTCCCACCCCGCACCCTCCCTCTCCTAAAGTGATCTCTGTAGAGCTCCAGAGTGCCGATGGTTCCGCATCAGATGAACCGCTTCGGCATCGCTCTCACGTCGCTGACACTGGTCTGTTTTGTTGGCGCCAGTCAAGCTAGAAGTCGTCAGTGTCAATAGAACGAAGGGATTCACTGTCATTGTCCGATATGTTTGAAATTAAGCGGATATGTGGAGATGGGCTTTGTTGATTCTGTTGGTTTCGGTGCACAGGTGCGCCATCACGGTCGCCAAGTGCTTTCTATAGTCTTTACTCTTATTGTGGTATGGTCGCGTCTGCACTCCTTAATACTTCAACAAAGCTTACCTCCTAAAAATCCACTGTTCAGCATTTTTCAATTGCAACGCTCTCGCAACGCCAAACTTTGGTCCCTCCGCTGAAGCCATGGAATGGATTAATGAGCAGCTGCAGCGGCTACATGTTGAGGCTGCTGCTAAGGAAGCGAAGCTGGACGACCTGGAGAAGGAGCTTTGCAAGAAACCCGAGGACCATGTCCTCCGTGGCAAACACGCCCGGTTGGTGGAGAATCTCGCAGACCTAAATGCCCGCCAGAAGAATCTAGAGGAGAAGTTGGCAGGTGGGACCTCGGGGCGCCCTGAACCGCAGATGCTCCTACCCGTTAATGGGTCCGCTGTTCGCCACCATAATTTAACGGCAACTGCCTGCGTGTTGTGTTACCGAAACATGTCATCCCAGGGTTCTGATACGCGTCCTCTTGTAATAGAATGCCTGTAGTTCAAATCTAGTAAAAGGGTACAGTATCCGATTTTTCATCTATGAAGGACATGTTTCGATCTGTACAAGATTCTTGCTGATGTACCGTGCGTGGAAGGAAATGCAGTGCGCTGTGTAGGCATCGTGCGTTAAAGCCTTGTGGCTGAGATGTTTCTCGTTAGCGCGCAGAGGCTGAGTTCCCCTCAGTGCAGCTGGAATGGGTCGGAAATTTATTGTATGAAGCTAGCATGGGTGTTTTGATTCTCAACATGAATGACCTGTGAGCGCACCTTCGTCTCCAGCAGCTTACCGCCCTGAAGGCAGCAATCAGCAGCTCAATTTGACATCGGTGAACTTAAGGAGCATGGTGGCATTGTATGGTCCTAGAACGTTTTGCTGTGAACCTATGAACACGTTCCGTTGATCAAGTAATAATGTCAATTGTGCATCCCTCTCGTTTTTCCTTAATGTGCAGCTGCGGCTATGGGTGGCTCTGGCGTTGTTGCTGGTGAGTGTGACCTGATTTTTGCATTGCTTCAGTAAGTTGCCCATGCCTGCAGCGTGCTTGCGACATCCATGCTTTCAAAGGCTGCTCTTAGCGATCTAGCCGCTGGCCCTCTCAGCAAGCCAAGCTAGCAAAGTCTCTCATTTCTTCAATAAAGGTTTCTGATATAAACTTGCGAGCTGCTCTGTGCCTTCCGCTAAACAGCTTCTTAAGCTCGGAGCGTGGTCTGTACTTCCTGTTACAAGCAACGGTCTGTACTTCCTGTTACAAGCAACGAAGTGATTAAGTATTGTGCTGATGCAGTCCACCAGTTCGGGGTCCGCTGTAACAAATCACATTCTGCTTATAAAGTAAAACACAAGGGGCATATGAACCAGCACGCTTGGTATTTGCTACCTGGCACATCATGCTCCTCCATGTGCTGCACCTGTATCGTTTCTCCTTTATGTGCAGCTGCGGCTACGGATGGCTCTGGCGTAGTTTCTGGTGAGTTTGACCTGATTTTGCTTTGCTTCAGTAAGTTGCCCATGCCTGCAGCGTGCTTGTGACATAAGGTCGGAGCAGCATGGTCTGCACTTCCTGTTACAAGCAACTAAGGAATGCGGCTTCCCGCCGCCATATGAAGGAACGAAATCACGATTCCATAAGTACGACAGATGTCCCTTAAGGACAACAGTAGAGAGATCTGACAGATTAACGTCTAATTCACTACACTCCCCTGAAAACAATCATTGGGTGTTTCTGGTGAAGCAGCTGGCCATGTTTATTGCGGCTTTGTAGGGTGACTGGCTGTACGGTGGCGGTAGTGGCTTGGTAGTGCGCAGTCTGCAGCATAGGAGCACCGGAGTGCGTGTGTATGTGGAAGTGTGGGTGGGTGGAAGTCAGCAGTGTGGATATGGACAGCTTGTTCAGACGGCTGGGTGCACATCACATCGCACCCCAGCACTGTCTACGACACAAGTCACAAACAGATCATCTAAACTGGGGGTTCAGCAGTCTGTTGACAAGTCTTCAACAATAGTGCTACCCGATGCGATGCAGCTATGGATGTACATGTGACAGGTTCTCATGANCCTGCAACCTAGTTGCAGGCCCTCTCAGCAGCCGAGCTAGCTAGCAAAGTCATTATTTTGTTTGCTCTCCCCATAGAAAGTTCCCTTTTTTTATCATTTTGCTGCTTTCTTCCCGCGTCATGACGAGCTGTCCATTATGCTGGTCTTCGTCTTTTTGTTTGTCTATTTTATTTCTTTGTTTTTGTTTTAAGATTATATTTAGGAAGAAGTCATTACATTAACATTTAGTTATAATGTTTTGTTAACATCTCAAAAGTATATTAGCTGCTTGCAAATTTATTTTAAGTAGGCTAATTAAGTTTGCTCCAATCCTTCCCTATGGCATAAAACGGGGGGTAACCCCCCCTTAAGCATAACCCAGGGTGTAGGGGTAGGGGTTACCCCTTGTGGCTATGTATGAAGGGAGGCGGCTAACCTAACCCCGGGGTAGGGGTAATCCCTTACCGAGGGTTAACAAAGGGGTCAGGGTAATACACTACTGATGGGTAACAGACCCATGTTTACATTCACCTGCACCTGTCTCGCCTGTCTACACACGCAAACATACATGTCTTCACCAGTCACTTGTGAATGCCCAATTATCAACATTGCCGCACCAAAACATGCCTTGTTCAGAAACCTAAACCTAAGGATAAGGCACACAGCTGCAGCCTAGATGCAAGGAGGCAGACGAACAGGTGTACATATGCAGAGCAAATTGGGAACCACGAGAAGCCACCAGTGAAGCCAATAAATATCCCTATCAAAGTGTAGCAGCCGGTACACAGTACGGTGCTATAAATACGCGCAGAGCGCGACCGCCAGCGACTCAGAGACCTTTTCAGCGGTCAGCTGCTACATTTGGTATCGAGACCTCGTGAAAATTCACGTTCCTGAAGTCGTCGGTTCAACCCCCACCGATCACGTTCGAGTGGTATTTCGGGTGTGGCGACTCAGTGAGCGAATATCGCACAAAAACTATAAAAAAAAGTAGCTGAACCGACTGGACTGTCTCTGTGCCTGAAAAACCTGAAGGCTAGGCGCATGTGAAGCGGGCACATGACGTGACGTGGGCTTGGTCACCCCACTGCCCGAGGGTAGGAGAAGGTAGGCACAGGCTGGCGGTATACGAGGCTCTAAAGGGCCCGGGACGGTTCCCTTCAAAGGGGGGGGAATGTAGCAGCCGGTACACAGTACGGTGCTATAAATACGCGCAGAGCTATAAATGCGTGCAGAGCGCGACCGCCAGCAACTCGAGAGACCTTTTCAGCGGTCAGCTGCTACACAAAGGATCCAAAATATTCCTATCAAAAGATCCATGCACCTACCGCCACTCCGGACCTAAGACTCATGGACCAGTTCATGACCTAAGACTCATTGATCAGCCAACAGGCAGCAATGTAAGGTCGGCCAGTAGCTTAAGTGCCCCATCCCGACCTGCTAATTCCAGCTCTACGCACGACCTATGCAACATCCAGAGTCCGCTCGTTTTCAGAGCAGGCTCTTAGGAGAGCCTCTCCTAAGAGTGTCTAGGGTCTTGGGTGGGAGATCCGGATGTTTGATCCCGAATATGGCCACACCCAGCAAAGTGTAAGGCGGTTAAAATCCTCGGATGTCACTGGATGTCTTGCTAAATGAGGTCCATCATAAGTGTGGGCCTGTGCTGCAGAAGGACAGTCAACAGTCTTGTTGTAGTGGTCCATGCACGCAAATACTAGGACGCCACCATTTTTGCCACCATACACACCAGTATTGCAACGTGGATTGTATGTGTCCATTGTATGTTTGGTCAATAGGAATATGATTGACTGAATTGTTGATAGTGGTCATCGCTTATTTTAGCATGTCGATCTAATTATAAGACCAGCCAAGAGTGTGCATTATATGAGCTTACAAGCTAATTAGCTGTGATTAAGCTTGAATGTGCTTGTCAGGAGTATCAATGGAGGCAAAGCAGCATGCACATATGTGTACGACCACCCCTGGCCGGTAATATGTCGGCCGACCTCAGGACTGATCGCCTGATGTTTTCACAATGAGAACTATTATATAACAATGGATGACAACCAAAGGCACCCATTTAGTGAAGACCTGTGCTGCCAGCATTCACGCCTTCTCCTGTACTCATCTACAAGCTCTCGTAACAGGCCAAGAGATAGGTACTTATTGCTTATTCCTTGCGTGTGTGATGCCATCATTAGAGACCTTAAGGTTGAAATGGCAAACGATGCTTCCCGAGATACCAAGATACTGTAGGTTGCTAATGTTTACATTTTTAAAAGTATCCTTAAGTGGAATTTACGATGTGGGAAGCATGTAAGGCGAGTCGCCTATAGGCCCATACATATGTCCATAGTCCTGGGCAACAGAGGGGTTTACCCTGGGGCCGTGTTACCCCTCCTGCTGGATAAGAACTTACAAGGAGGTTACCAAAGGTCTACCGGGGGTTGAAGGTGGGTAACCCATTGGTAACCCATGGGTTACTGAACCAATCAGTGCCTTAGGGCTTCCAGGATTTGTACAGCCTAGAATATGATTTTGGGCTTCTCCTATCGATGAGCAGAGGCTGGGC